TCTTGGCTAATGTAATGATGATGTGCTTTGGTATGTTTCTTCTTGGGTCCAATTTCTTTGGGACTCTCTGAGCTTCCTGGATTTCCTGGAAGTCTATTTCCTCTGCCAGAATGGGGAAGTTCTCTTCTGTTATTTGTTCAAATAAGGTTTCCACTCGTGACTCTTCCCCTTCTGGTACCCCTATAATTCGAATGTTGGAATGTTTAAAGATGTCCTGGAGGTTCCTAAGCCTCTCCTCATTTTTTTGAATTCTTGTTTCTTCATTCTTTTCTGTTTGGCCATTATTTGCTTTCTTCTGGTCCACTCCATTGATTTGAGTCCCAGACTCCTTTCCATTACTATTGGTTTCCTTTGCATTACCATTCATTTCAATTAGTTTAGCTTTCATATGTTTCTCTAATTTGTGACTAAAATCAACCAGTTCTGTGAGGATCCTGATAACCAGTGTTTTGAACTGTGCATCTGAAAGTTTTGCGATTTCTTCATTGCTTAGATTTATCAGCTCTGGGGCTCTGAGTTGTTCTTGAGCCATTTTTGGTCTGTTCGCACCGGTAAGTAAGAGGAGCGAAGCCTTAGTTGTTTACCAGGACAGGACTACCCAGGTCAGTGGTTTGTGGTGCTGTGTGTGGAGGTGGGGTCAGAGAGGGAGCAATGGCAGTTCTCTCTGCTAGCCCAGTCTGTCCCGTCCCACCACTCGCCCCGGCCTGTTTATCCGAGCAGAATTGTGTGAGCCTGCTGCCCCACGCCCCCGCGCTGTGGGGTCTCAATGCTGGCCTCTTCACTGGTTTATCTGTATGCAGATGAGTGACCTACCGCAGACAGCCAGCCGCGCCTCTTCCTTGTGTGTGCCCGTAGCTAGCCCACGATCCGTGCCTTTGGCTGCTTGCACACCACCAGGTCAGGGATCTTTTTGGTTAGCCGGCTCCGCTGCTGGCTTCGCCCCCCCTTACCAGTTTAGCTGAGCATTTCGTCCTTTTTTTCGGACTCCGTATTGTTGATTTTCTGTGTGGTCTGGTTGTGTTTATTGTTGTTAAAAATAGTTGTTCTTAGATTTGGTTGTGCACGGAAGCAAGGTGGGTCCACCTACACCTCCATCTTGGCGGAAGTCCCCCCAATATTCTTAACTTACAAAGATATCATCTTAATTACGTTAGTTAGAAAAATTGTATGTGTTATTTTAAAATAAAATATATGCCTTGCAGAGTACTAAGGCAAAAAATTAAAGAATATATAGTTGGTATAGCAAAAAAAGGGTGGGGGTGAAAACCAGACACACAAAATAGGAGGAAAGAATTATTAAACCAATCAAAAATATTTATTTTTATTAATATAAAATATAACATGCACCTTGGCTGGCATAGCTCAGTGGATTGAGCGTGGGCCTGCAAACCAGAGTATCTTGGTCTGATTCCCAGTTAGGGTACATGCCTGGGTTGCAGGCCAGTTCCCAGCAGGGGATACACAAGAGGCAACCATACACTGATATTTCTCTATCTCCTCCCTTCCCCTCTAAAGATAAATAAATAAAATATTATTTATAAGATTAATAAAGCAGCTAAAATCTTTAAAAATATATTTTATTAATTATGCCATTACAGTTGTTCTATTTCCCCCCTTCATTCCCCTCCACCCTGTGCACCCTTCCCCCACCATTCCCCCCCTTTAGTTTATGACCACGTGTCTCAAGTTCTTTAGATTCTATATTTTCCATACTATTCTTACCCTCCCCCTATCTATTTTCTACCTACCATCTATGGTACTTATTCTCTGTACCTTCTCCCCCCTTCTCCTTCTCCCACTCCCCTGTTGCTAACCCTCCATGTGATCTTCATTTCTATAGTTTTGCTCCTGATCTAGCTGTCCTCTTAGTTTGCTTTTGTTTTAGGTGTGGTTGTTAATAACTGTGAGTTTGCTGTCCTTTCACCTTTCATATTTTTTATCTTCTTCTTTTTCTTAGATAAGTCCCTTTAACATTTCATATAATAAGGGCTTGCTGATGATGAACTCCTTGAATTTGATCTTATCTGAGAAGCACTTTATCTGTCCTTCCATTCTAAATGAAAGCTTTGCTGGACAGATCAATCTTGGTTGTAGGTCTTTGGATTTCATGACTTGAAATACTTCTTTCCAAGTATTCTATGAAGCCTTTGAGGTGGGAAGCAGATTCTCACAGTTCTCCAGCCCTGTCCATGTCTATAGGAATCTCCTAAGAAGCTGTTAAAAATTCCTGGGAACCACCCTCAGAAATCCCAAGTCCACTGGTCATGGGGCCCTCACTGCTCCCCAAGCAGTGAGGGAACCATGGTTTGAGAAAACAGACCCTAGGTAGCAAGTATAGAAGCTGTCCACAGGACCATTGGGAGATAAGTGCCTCCTCTCTGAATATCTGGGGTTTTCTGGTTTACTGGGGTATATGGGAGGTCCAAGGTGTCGGTGAACATGGCAAAACAAAGAAAGCTACATGATAGGATGGCTGTATGTGGATGGAGGGAGCTGGAGTACAATGCCATGGAATTGTAATATGTATCAATGTCATATCTCAAAAGATCCCAGACCTACAACCAAGATTGATCTGTCCAGCAAAGCTTTCATTTAGAATGGAAGGACAGATAAAGTGCTTCTCAGATAAGATCAAATTTAAGGAGTTCATCATGTGAATCTCCTGTTATATCACAATAAAATTTTTTTTAAAAAAATTCTTAACAGATGTTATCCAGCCACTGACATGGTCAGGTGCTTAAGTGTGTGCATAGAGAAGTGCTAGGGTGTTTCCTAGGGATCTAGTGTTAGTGTCGACTCCTGGGATCAGTCTTTTGTATGAATTTTGAGGAAGAAAGGAATACAGTTAGTTGTCAGGATGTGGATGGTGCTAGAACATGAGAGAATACAGGTGGTATTAAGACTGTAATTAATATGAAAAAGGGTAAATCGATGTGAATAAACACTGGTCCAAGGGAATCATTGATCATGTTGTCAGTAGGTACTTTAACAGCAGATCTACTTGGCTGTCTGGCTGTCAATTTCTAGATCAATGGTAAACAATCTCTAGATCAATGGTAGTTACAAACATAAAATATTTTGGAAAGCATTCTTGGAAAATGGGACTCAAACTGGCTGCTCAGTCAGAGCCCAGATGGCTTGATAGTCCATGGACAGAAGCAGATCTCGCTATTGAACAGGAGAGCAGCAACTAGAGTAGATTAGGAGTGCTAGGGATAGTACTGTAGTACCAGGGATAGGGATGGGAGGACAAGCCATTTTGGTGACAAAGTCCACCACCACCAGGAAAAGTGACCTGCTTTGAGGAGAGAGTCAATTGGACACTAATCTAATGTGAAGGTTTCTAGAGACATCTGCAATCAAAAGCAGGAGGTAGCAGTTTATTGGGTCAACCAGGCTTGTCCTTGACCTGGACACAGGCATTACAGGAGGGAGAATCCTAAATGGCATCATTCAAAGACTTGTACATTCCTGGGGCTAGTGGGATTGCAATCGTTCTCTGCTTTACCAGGTTCACTGAGACACTGATCCTCATCATGAACTCCAGTAAGACACCAAGGTAAGTTGTTTGTCTTGATAGGCTCTCCCAGCATTTTGTACTATCACATGGCCTTGAATCTCAGTTAGATGAGTTGTAACTCATATGTAGCTAAATGCCTACACAGTGTATATGTGTTTCCTTGATAAATGTAGCCAGGGGCACAAAGTTCTCTGGTTTAAGACTTTTCCACAGTAGGACTGCCTTGCTGCTCCCAGGCCTTCTGGATGATAGATTGAACACTTGACAGATAGTTTGGGCTGCTTAGAGTTGCAGAATTCAATACTAAAAAAGAGAGACAGAAGAGAGACTCAAGGCTGTGCTTCTAAATATTTAAAGCAGCTTTGATTGCAGCCACTCCCTCAGTGGGTGGTTGTTCTTGGGTAGAGCCAGCTTCTAGGACTATGACATTTCATGGACTACAAGTTCCCAGATGGGAAGGGATAAGCCCCACAGCAGCGCATTAAGCCTTCATGAAATGAGTACTGACTAACTGAAGTAGTGATTCAGTCTAAATCTGAGCAGCTCCAACATAGTCAGGAGGAGGAGGCTAGTTTCTAAAATAACTCATCTTCAGACTCTTAAAGAGTTATTCCTCATCTTGAGTTAAAATCTATCTTCATTTAACTTCCTGTACTTTGTTCTACAAATATGTTTTGGGGCCATATCAGTTCTACCCATTCTTTCACATAATTGTTATTGTCCTGCACTTTCCTTCATTTCTTTTTGTCTGGTGGCTCACTTGTGAGCATGCTCCAATATGTCAATGTGCCTCTTAAAAGTGTGGTACAAAGAATGGAGTACTCCAGGTGTGGTCCGATGGTTCTCTAGTACAAGATAATCACTTCCTTGCCAGAGATGGTGGGCTTTGTTTTTGTTGTTGTTATTATTATTATTATCATCCCATCAGAAATTTACTTGGTTAGCTAAATTTGCTTTAAAAAAAAAACTCACCTGCCTTTCCCTCTTCACTCACCTTAATTATGCAGCTGTTTGTGGAGCCAAGTATAAGTTGTAACACTTAGAACACAACGCCTGAATTATGGTCTCATTATAATAATCATTATTTTTAATTTCACCTTATTAACTATAACCATTACAAAATGGAACTACCACTTAAAATAAGATATTAAGTCAGGCACCACCTCCTTCAGCCTCAGAAATGGAAATACTACCTTGCATTACATCTGCTGTTGGATTTTGAGACCACGGTATCCTACCCCTCCCATTTAAGCTAGGACACTTCTAATTAAGCCCCGCCCCCAGAACGAAGTCTCCCTGGCCCCACCCCTGGCCTCAGCTCCGACGCGGTTCGCATCCGCCCAGCCAACTCCTACCCGCGAGTGGGGGGAGGGGGGGTGGAAAAAAAAAAAAAGCCCTGGGTGTAGTCTTTGATTGGCTGGCTAGGGCGCAGCTTGATGGCGTTAGGCTGACAAGCTCCAGTAGCAGCGCTGACCCGGGTCAAAGGCCACCTGTGTAAGATGGCTGGCGGTCCGAGTTGCTGTGTCTTCGGGGAGTGGAAAGTGATGGTACATCCTCTCCCTACATTTTGCTATGAGTTTCCTAATAGACTCCAGCATCATGATTACCTCCCAGGTAAGCCACTGCCTCCTGCCTCAGGGCCCCTCAGCCTCATTTTTCAGAATTGTCTTCTCGCGGTCCCCGTGATGAAAGCTGACCCGCGCCCGCTCCCTCGCTCGCTGCCTGCGCCCGCCTAGTCCGTTCCCGGAACTTGGGGAGGGTGTGGAATTTGCTGCATCCTGTGCTCTCCGCCATAGTTGTCCGGAGGCAGCCTGCGGTAGTAGGCACCCCCACCCAAGTTTTCATTCCACCCCACTCTGCTCCCTGCTTTTATGTCCACTTTTGGAAGAGGTCAAGTGGCAGGTGGCCTCAGCGCCCAGAGCCTGTGCCTTGAGAGAAAGGAGCTGTCCACGAAGCGCACCGAAGATTCTGGGCTGGGTCCTTGACCCATAAATTAGGGGAAGGTGTGCTTCCCTGCGCAAAATGCGCAGCAGGCCAATCGGGGCTGGCTCCTGGGTTCAGATCGGAGCTTTGCTGGTTAATTGTCAAATGCTGAATCCGGGTGTGGAGGAATTTGCCCCTGCCACTTGAGAGATCTTCAAAGTGTGATGTTAATATATTCTTTATCTTCTGTTTGCGGCTGTGCTTTTCAGATCTTTTTCTGACGCTCCTTCCCGATTGACCACCTTCATCCACTCGTACCGTCAATGAATTTATATAAATTCTGTCTGTAACTCTGAGGGTACAGACAGAAATAAGACACTGACTGTCCCTGCTCTATAAAAGCTTCGTCTAGTAAGCCTCTTGCTTGTACTTTGTCATTCGTTGAGTTACTCTATTTTATTTTCTTTATAGCATTCATCAAAGCACTGATACCACTTTGGTATTTGTTTATGAATTTATTTATTGAGATCCTGTCTTGTTCATAGCTGTATCCCTGCTCAAGTGCAAGCACTCAGTATTTGTTGCCCAACTTTTAATATTTGGAGAAGCTCAGACTATGTAAATGTGTATCTCTCCCCCCTCCCCATTTTTCAAGTCATTTAAAGTAGTTAAAAAATTTTTTTTTACTTTTATTTGGGTGCAGTTGGTTAATAAAATTATATAGGTTTCAGGTGTACAATTCTGTACTATCATCTGTATATTGTGTACTCACCAACCCAGGTCAAGTCTCCTCCATCACTATTTACCCCCCCATACCCTCTTCTAACCTCTCCCACCCACCCCTTTCCTTCTGGTAATCACTATAATATCATCTGTGTCTAAAAGGGGTTTTTGAATTTTTGGTTTGTTTGCTTTTTGCTTAATCCCCTCACCTTTTTCACAAGTCCCAGCAACCTCCCTTTCCTCTGACAGCTGTCGGTCTGTTCTTTATGAGCCTGTTTTATTAGATGCCACATTTAAGTGAAATCCTATGGCACTTGCCTTTCTCTGACTGGCTTATTTCACTTAGCATAACGCTCTCCAGGTCCATCCATGCTGTCACAAAGGGTAAGAGTTCTTTCTATTTTACAAGCGAGTGGTATTCCAATGTGTAAATGAACCACAGTTTTTTTATACACCCATCTACTGATGGACACTTGGGGTGCTTCCAAATGTTGGCTCTTGTAAATAATGCCACAATGAACATGAGGATGCATATATTCTTTTGAATTAGTGTGTTGGGCTTCTTCAGATATATTCCCAAAAGTAAAATCACTGGAACATAAGGTAGTTACATTTTTAATTTGCTTTGGAATTTAAAAAATGTATTGTATTTTTTTCCATTACCGTTTAGTCCCCTTATCCCCTCCTCATCCCACAATCACCACACTGATGCCATGTCCATGACTCTCTTTTCCTTTTTGCTTAATCCCTCCACCCCCTAACTTGCCCCAATTCTTCCTTAGCTGTAATCCTGCTGTCTATGAATTTGTTCTATTTTGCTTGTTCAATTTGTTCATTAGATTCCATATATGAGTGAAATCATGTGGTACTTGTCTTTCTTTTGATGGTTGTATGTTCTCCAGGTATGTCGATGTTGTTACAAGGGTACTTTTTAATTTTTTTGTTTATGGCTGAGTAGTATTCCATTGTGTAAAGGCCCCATAGTTGTTTTATCCACTCATCTACTGATGGACACTCAGACTGCTTCCATATCTCAGCTAATGTGAATGACGCTGCAGTGAACATAGGAGTGCTTATATTCTTTCATATTAGTGTTTTGGATTCCTTTGGCTGTATTTCAAGAAGTGGGATCACTGGGTTAAAAGACAGATCCATTTTAAATGTTTTGACATATCTCTATACTGCTTTCTACAGAGGCTGTCCCAATCTGCTTTCCCACCAACAGTACAAAGGGTTCCCCTTTCTCCATGTCCTCACCAGCACTTGTTTATGGATTTATTGATGATAGCCATTCTGACAGATATGAGATGATATATCATTGTGGTTTTAATTTGCATTTTTCTGATGATTAGTGACAATGAGCATCTTTTCGTATGTATATTGGTCATGTGTATGTCCTTTTGGGGAAGTGTCTATTTAGGTCCTTTGCCCATTTTTAGTTGGATTCTGTGGGGTTTTTGGTGTTGAGTTGAATAAGTTCTTCATAAATTTTGGATGTTAACCCCTCATCAGATATGTTCTCCCATTCAGTGGATTCTCTTTTCATTTCCTTGATGGTTTCCTTTGCTGTGCAAAAACTTTTTAATTAAATGTAGTCCCACTTTAATTTTTTGTTTCCCTTGCCTGAGGCAATACATCAGAAAAACTATTGCTATAAGAAATGTTTAAGATTTTACTGCCTATGTTTTCTCCTAGAATGTTTATAGTTTTGAATCTAATATTTGTCCTTAATCCATTTTGAGTTTATTCTTGAGCATGGTGTAAGAAGAAAGTGGTCTAGTTTCATTTTTTGAATATATCTGTTTAATTTCCCTAACACCACTTACTTTTAAGATTTTATTCATTTATCTTTAGAGGGAAAGGGAAGGAGAGAGAGAGAGAGAGAAATTCAATTTATGGTTGCCTCTTGTGTATCTCCCGCTGGGAACTGGCCTACAACCTAGGCATGTGCCCTGATTGGGGATCAAACCGCGATTCTCTGGTTAGCAGGCCCACCCTCAATCCACTGAGCTACACCAGCCAGGGCCCAACACCACTTATTGAATAGACTGGCTTCACCCCATTGTTCCTTTTTTTTTTTTTTTTTTGCTTCCTTTGTCAAATATTGATTGACCATAAGGCATAGATTTATTTCTGGGTTCTCTGTTCTGTTCCATCGCTCTATATGCCTGTTTTTATGCTAGTACCATGCTATTTTGATTACTATGACCTTGTAATATAGTTTTATATCAGGTAACATGATTTCTCCAACTCTGTTATTCTTTCTCAACATAACTGGTTACTCGGGATCTTTTGTAATTCCATATAAATTTTTGAAATATTTGTTCTAGTTCTGTGAAATACACCATTGGTATTTTGATAGGAATTGTGTTGAATCTGTAGATTGCTTTGGGTAATATAGGCATTTTAATGGTGTTAATTCATCCTATCCGTGAACACAGTATATGCTTTCACTTATTTGTACCTTCAGTTGCTTGCTGCAGTGTCTTGTAATTTTTTTAAGTACAGATCTTTTACATGCTTGGTTAAATTTATTTCTAGGTATTTTTTGATGCAATTGCAAATGGGATTGTTTTCTTAGTTCCCTTTCTGATAGTTCATCATTAGGATGTGGAAATGCACCTGATTTCTGGATATTTATTTTTTACCCTACTATTTTATGGAATTCATGTATCAGTTCTAGTAGTTTTTGGTGGAATCTTTAGGATCTCTGTAAACAGTATCATGTCATCTGCAAATAATGACAGTTTTACTTCTTCCTTTCCAATTGGGAGAAGAAAGACCTTATATTTCTACCTTATATTTCTTCTTCTTTTCTGATTGAATAGGTCTGTTGAATAAAAGTGGCAAAAGTGGACATCCCTGTCTTGTTCCCTTACTTAAGGGAAACACAGTATTTGCCTCTTGAGTATTATGGTGGCTGTTAATTGGTCATATATGGCCTTTATTACATTGAGGCATGTTTCCTCTCTTCCCAGTTTGCTAAGAATTTTTATCATTAATGGCTGCTGAATTTCATCCAATGCTTTTTCTGCGTCTGTTGATATGATCATGTGATTTTTTTTTTATCCTCCATTTTGTACATTTATTGATTTGCAAGTATTATACCAACCTCAAATCCCCGGGATTAATCCCACTTCATCATGGTGTATGATCTCTTTAATGTGTTGCTGGATTCAGTTTGCTAATATCTTGCTGAGAAATTTAGTATCTATGTTTATCAGGGTTATTGGCCTATAATTTTCTTCCTTTGTTGTGTCTTTGTCTGATTTTGAAATTAGGGTAATGCTGGCCTCATAAAATGAGCCTGGGAGTCTTCCCTCTTAAATTTTTTGGAATAGTTTGAGGAGACGTGTTAGTTCCTTTCAGAATGTTTGGTAAAATTCACCTGCAAAGGTATCCAATCCAGACTTTTGTTTGGGGGAATTTTTCATTTACTTATTCAATATCACTAGTTGTAATCTGTCCAGATTCTCTGATTATTCCTGATTCAGTTTTGGAAGATTGCATGTTCTAAGAATTTATCCATTTCACCAAGATTGTCCAATTTGTTGGACAATATTTTCTTAAATCCTTTGTACTTTCTCAGTATCAGTTGTTAGTTCTCTTTCATTACTGGTTTTATTTATTGGGTCCTTTCTCTTTTTTTCTTGATGAGTCTGGCAAATGGTTTGTCAATCTTGTTTGTCTTTTCAAAAGAAACATCTTGGTTTCATTGATTGATTGTATGTATATTTTTAGACTCTATTTTGTTTATTTCAACTCTGATCTTTATTATTTCCTTCTACTTACTTTGGGCTTTGTTGTTTTGTTTTGTTTTGTTTTTTTAGTTACTTTATGTGTAAACAGATTACTTATTGAGATTTTTGTTGTTTCTTGAGATAGGCCTGTAATGCTATGAATTTCCCTCTTAGGACTGCTTTCACTATGTCCCATACATTTTGGGTTGTTATGTATTTATTTTCATT